TATATTCAAATAATTTATACACAAAAAAACATATGGACATGTACACATCTATGTATCATATTTTTTTCAGAACAGTTTCTTAATCACTAAGAATTTCTAAACTCATTAATTAAAAATCTTTACTATTTTAATAATAATCCTTTGGTTCATTAATTTTGCTTATTCATTCAGTTCATAAAATTGCTTATAGAATCAATCGAGACGATAAATAATAATTATGAATTTAATTAACAAAAATTTCTAAGAATTTTCTATCGATTTATATATTTATTCATGTATGTTATCAATTAAAATAATATTAATGTATCTTCTATCTTTATTTGTATATATATTCATAATAATTTTATTCTGTAATTTGCTGATCAATGATATTTGTCTTATTTTTTAATTGCAAATTGAAAATTTTTTAAATAAAAAAAGGAATAAAAAACAAATTTTAAATTTAAATATTACAGTTTTAAAATTTCATAAAATGAAAAGTGATTTTTGAAAAGATAAAGAGAATTGATAAATGAATTATTTATCAAATATGCAAATATATCTCATATAATATTCAATATCTGATATCCATACGGTTTCGTGTGACCAGAGATTACCTAGAGTTTGACCATATAAAAAATATATCCTTCATAAAAGTTGTATTTAACTTCTGTCATAAAATAATTAAACGCATAATCAAGTTAGTTAACCATTTTCAATGTTTTTTAAAAATACTCTATCATTTATATATTAATAATGAGATTGCAAAAATAATTGATACAGAATTAAACAATTGAAATCTTTTTAACTTCTGTTCTCCAAAGCACCAGTTTCTTTTAAGTAATTAACGTAATATCGAACGATTTCAAACAAAACGATTTTAAAATATATGTAATAATTTAATTATTAAATTTATAATATTTTTAACATTTATAATTTTAATATTTGATATTATTTAGAATCAATCATTTATATATCATTTTGATTTTATTTGCTTTATTATTCAGAATATTTTATATTAAAATTTATTATAATTAGTGTTAATATTAAGAATGAATATATATTATATAATTTATGTACAAATAGAATTAGTAGTATATATAATTTTAGTATATATTGATGATTTTAATATTAAATTGAATAATGTTATAAATATGGAATCGTGAAAGAAAGAATTAAACAATATATAATAAAGCCTGTAATATAATCAGAGGAATGATAAGAAAATGATAAAAAGTCAATTAATAAAAATGTCTTCCAAAAAAGAATTGTTCAAAAATATGAAAATACATATATTTAGAAAATACATATACGATTTGTATGGTAATATATCGTGTGTTAAAGGCGATATCAATATTGAAATGATGAATATATGCGTTATATAATCAATACAAACAAAATATACCGCAATTAAAGAAAAACTTGTTATCGATTAATTATACTTTTAAAAAAAACATGAGAATTAAGTTTATTGATAATAAGACAAATGAAATAAATGAACAGATGAATAACGAGATCGATAAGGATGAATCGATATTATTGTTGAAGAAAACAAAAAATCGGTAACCGATTCAATCATATCTTTATCTACTTCATGAAATTATCTACTTATCACAAAAATTTGTTTTGAAATAACAGAATTATTCGTTGCTGTTTGCGAGCCGGTCCAAGAAGCATCACAAACAGAAAATTCAATTAAATGGATAAAAGTAATCAATGAATTTGAATCTTCTGAAGAAAATAAAATTTGATTTTAGTTTTAAAATTAAACAATGTTATAACATTTTACTCAGAGGCCGCAATGCGGTGCAATATTGGCTTTGTATGGCCAAATGAATTTTTCAAGAGAGCAACGACATTCACAGAGCAACACCTCCACTGGGTTTCAATGAGACAAAATATGAGAAGTTCGTCAAGAGTTCTCTCTTCTCAGCTTAAGTGATTTATGAGGATTTCCGTTAAAAAAAAAAAAAACGCAATATTAAGAAGCAATGTAATTATTTCGAATTGTTGAATTTTCAAAAGAAAATAGAAAGCAGATGGGATAATTTGTAAAAAAAAAAAAAAACAAAGGCCAAGTTATAAAAAGCTACACACAGAAAAATAGGATTGATTACAAAGAAACATCTTCGATCATGAAATACGACACTATGAGATTTTTTCTTCACGATTCTGATCAATTGAATTTTTAAAAAAATCTTTTTTCATATCGTCTAATAAAGCTTCTAACTTCTCAAGAAAAGTGAAATAGTGTAATTCAATTTTATTATATTTTAAAGGACGATTGAATACTTTTTATAAGAAATTGTATCCATTTATTAGTAAAAAGTTTAAAAACTAGATTTGCAATTCCATTAAAATATAGCACTATATTATATAAATCACGTATGATATTGAATGAGATATTTGTCAACATTGAATTTAAATCTATATATAATATAGAATTATTAATTCTACATAACTTCTTAATCTTTTAAGAAGAAAGAAAGATGTGATTAAATTATCACTTATTATTCTCGCTCATACGTTTAGACTAAATTGTTATTGATACTTCAAATGAATGATCGTATGTGGATTTTTCTTAAATAATTGAAAACAATTCTATAATATATTCTCTTAATGTTTTCGATATATACATTTGTTTTTCATTATTGCTATTCGAACGAGCTATTTTCATTATTTCTTTTAATGACTAAAGATTTGTTCTTTTAAATCTTCTTATTTCCAATGTTAATATTACTTTATTCAAAAAAATGAAAAACAAAATGAAGGATTTTTTAAAAAATTTTTCATTAGTTTAAAAAGTCACATGAGAAATATTAACAAAGAAGTATTTACAAAATAGAAATATAAAATAAAATTTATACGACAAATATTAAAATTTATTTTATATTTGTCATATATTAATAAATAAATGGATAGAATGGATTCAATTATTTTCATTATTCGATAGACATACTAAAAAATAAACTTGAAAATAAGGCTGAATAGAGTATATACTTTTATTAGTCAGTACTTTAAAAGTCAATGAATAATTGAATCATGCTAAAAATTGCTAATATTTAAATTATTATAACTTTATGAAAATTTATAATAATCCATCTAGATTATTGTGTGAAATCTCTCTATCTTCAGAATCTCTAATTTTTTTCTATGAATATATATCCATAGAAATATATATTTTGTTTATACATAATGAGGGGAAAGAGAGGAAAGAAAAAACATGTTTTATTGTCAAAAATTTTTGCAAATTCAATAAGAAAATTTCTTCCATTTCAAGTCATTTAGATTTAAAGATTAAGGCTTTTTCTTTAAAAAAATTCAGTCAAAGATATAATTTCTTTAATTATTCAATTGAATTTTGAGAAGTATGCGATAAATCTGATCATCTTATATCTCGTATCACTCGTATCACGATTATTAAATTGATTTGCAGGAACCGATATCATTATTTTGTGTTTATTTTCTTCAGGCGAAATATTTTGATATGCATCTACAACATCTAAAATGATCATAGATTTGAAAAATCGTTCTTTCGTTTCCTTTTCATAACTAAGTATATACGATCATAATGAGTATTTGAAAAAAAAAATTATTTATTCATGTTTTAATATTATTATTCATGCAAAAAAAGAATATTTTTTTTAAAGTAATTACATTAAAAACTAAAATTCTAAAATCAACAATATGATACACAGTATCTTATTCAGAAACAATGAATAAATAAATGAATTATTATTATATTATAATATATTATAAAATGAATAAATTGAATTTATTCGTTCAAAATGAATAATATTAAATTGTGGTAAAAAAAAATTAATATAAAACTTTTCTAATAAATAAACAATAAATAATATATATTTGGAATAAAATAAATACAATCTATACTAAATTAAAAAAACAATATTATAATTCATTAAATAAGTAAATGAAGCAATCACAATGCATCTATTATTAAAATGATTACAGATAAAATCATCGAAATATAATACACGTGAAAACAATATATCATCAAATTATGTATTTATCATTTATTTTGATATACGTCACACAGTACAACATTGATCAATTATAATTATTTGTTCAAGTGATTCGAATGTTGAAAATGTTTGAGATTATTTGGAAATGTTCAAATTTGTAAAAATTTTGAAAATTTTATTACTCGCTTTAAAATCAATCGAGAGATGATATTTTAGATGTTTTCAAAAATTACTTTATAAAATTTATTCTTATATTTTATTTATTTAATTTATTAATATAAAGTTATTAATATAAAATGAAGTGGAAATAATGCAATAAGTAGTAATACGTTATAAGTTATAATTTATTATTTATTTATATTATATTAAATATTAATATTATAAATATTAATTATATTAAATAAAAATATTTTATTTTAAATCTAAAAAATTTCTTTACATTTTTAAAAAATAATCTTATACTATTCGATATGATTATATTTTCAGCTTTGAAAAACAATTTTTCGTTTGTTGTTGGATGGCAGAGATAACTATATATCATTTTGTTGTGATTTTTATTAGCATAGAAAATTTTTTATCAAATGTCTTTTTATTTTTTATCATTTTTAATACTATTCTCAGTATATTATCTTCTAAATATAATCATATTTTTTTGTCTTTATATCGAGTAATGTTATTTTTCTTGCTATTTATATACTTTATTATTTTTTTTTATTATTACATTTTTATTTTCAAATTTATCATAAAAAAATTTGAACAATTTTAATTTTGTTTCTCCTATAAAATAAAATATTTAAATAAATAAATTAAAAATTTTTTAAATTATTTCGTACACTTTTAAAGAAATATCATACCATCATTATTATCATAACCATTATTTTGCTAATATATATTCATTATTATTATCAAGACATTAAATACGATAATATTACGAGGACATTGCTGTTTTTGAGAAGAGAATTTGAAAGAATCTTGAAATTGCATATTATTTAAAAACACTTTGAAATTAAGATGATGATGATTTAAGACATTTTTTAGGCATGTCAATCTTAATGACAGTTGGCATCCTAATTGTTAACTCGCAAATCAGTTTCTTGGAACAGCGGATCACATGTCTTCTCAGCATAATTCTGAGAATGGATCAAGACTGTCGTTCACTCAAGGAGCTCGTTCATGGTGTTATTGACAGTTTGTGTGCCTTAGAAGATCTTGCAAGATGAGTATGGAATGGATTTGAAAGAACACGAATGTTTTGGTAAACAACTAATATCTTCCAAAGTCTTTAACTCCACAATGCTACGGTAGAATGGGTTAGCATGGCTGTTGCAGGATTACATGCAATGACCACAGATGGATTTCTATCCTTGGAGAACTTCCAGAGAAAAGAGAATATAGCCACAACTTTTCGGTAATTGAAGGTAAAATGATAGAACTTTTTCAAAATTTTCATTTTATAATTACTTCAACGCTTATTATTTCCAATTGAATGGAAACATACAAAATGGATTATGGAAAATCCATCAACGAATGATTCGATACATTTAGGTCATTAACTCTCTACATATGAACACATGCATGCATGTAAAACACTAATCAAGATACTGATCACAATAAATGCATTTTGAAACAAAAATTCAAAACGTAAGAAATAATTTAGAAATTCCTAAGGACAATGCATTGCATTCATTAGATTCATTTTCAGATACTTTTCGACTTTTCGATAAAGATAAAGACAATAAGCCTAATATCAAAATATAACCAGAATATAAACTAATTAGATTATTTATTATCTACGAACATTTGTGGTTGTTGCATGCGGGTTATTAAACTGTAATTTTTTCACAAAAAATTTTGGATACCATCTGATAAGATTTATATACCATCTAATGAAGAGTATCATTTGGAAATGATAATTGAAAATGTTTTCGAGTAAAGTTTCCAATTCAATAACACAAATAATTTTTCCACCGCTCGATTCACTTCTGGATTATGTAGATTCGCATCTAATTAAGGATAGGATTAAAGTCAATAATATACATCTGTTACATAAGATACATCTATTTATTCGTATGTTTTGCAACAAAGGCAATCTACATTGAATTAGCCATTGATCTTTTTACAAATGCATTTTTAAACTGTTTAAAAAGATTTATTACACGCCGAAGATTATACATCATATTTATTTGATAATGGAATTAATATTGAGACACAAAATGAGTTAATTGAATTTACAAAAATTCATCCCAGATAAAGAATAATACAATTTTTTATAAATAAGTAGATATAATATGATCTTTTCTCGCGCATTTCATCTCGGAGGTTCGAGAGTTATAAAATTAGCAAAATTGTATTTAAAACGGGTTTCAACACATTGATTTATGAAAAATTATATACAGTCTTAGTACAGATAAAAGCAGTCCTTAATTCCCTTAATTCCTGATCATTTTTTGATTGGTGATTCACTCTATGCCCCTCTTGAACTTGACTTGAAAAAGCTAACGAAGTACAGATTAAACAGATCCCAGATGTTCGAGCAGAACGTCCAACATTTTCGTGATGGTAAAATGAGTTCCTGCATCAACTACTATTAAGATGTAATTATTTTTTATTTTATATAAGAATAAATGTATATGTATATATGGAAATTGAACATGTTCCATCCCATAAGCGTGTGGAAGTTTTTTTTATTGGTGCGTGGACTAAAATACAAAAGAAATTTTAATAAATTACAAGTATTATATTGTAACAATTACAATAAATGGCGGACAAATTTGGATCAGATACAATAGTAATTATTAGAAACGATAATCTTCCCTTACTACAATGATTAAAAACAAATTTTAGAATTACACACTGAAAGGAACAAAATTGTCAAAATAACAACAATTAAAATGGCCGATGAGATAATTAAAAGATCTATAACCAACGACTATTGCTGGATAAGGATAGTCGTAACTGCACTATTCCAGGACACACAAATCGTAAAGATCGAAAACTTAGCTCAAAATTAGACTCACAGCATTTCTTTAATATAATTCATTTAACTTATATGTTATCAATTTTAGTATACTATTACTATTTATTTATATTTTATCAATATTGGACTATATTTTTCTGTGATTCTATGTATATTAATGAACTTTAATCAATGTTGTGAATTATTTAATTTTAGAATTATATTTTGTATTATTGTAATTTGTATTGTATAATATTAATTGATTTTACATATCTTATCAAAACTATTTGAACTTGTATGCGTGATTGAATACAATGCGTTTAAAGTGACATGTCAAAATATAATGTTATGAGAACAATGCCGTTTTTCAGAGAAGAATTTGAAGAAGCCTTAGAATTGTATAATGTTTAGAAATATTTCGACTGGAATGTGACCATGATCTTGGAACTTGGCACATTCTTAGAATGCCAAACTTGAACAGGCATCATCCTGAGAAGACTTGTTAGACACTCACGGATCAGCAAATTCTATTTCCAGAAAATATATTCTATATTCCCTTAATATTGGGAATTTTCTTTGGGTTAAGCATGTCGTTCAGTCGAAGAGTTATTATTGCTTAAATACTTCATTGATGAAGATCCATGATTTCATAATGAGCAAGGAAAAAATCTTTTAAAAGACATGAGAAAAATCAGAAATTTTTGAATCTCTGAACTTCTTCAACTATTCAAAATTCAGAATCTTACAAATTCTTGAACTTTATAACTTAGGAATAGAATTTTAAAATCTTGTGAATTTAATGATAAACGTAAGTCTTCAATAGCATATAAATTTTGCTCTTGATCGTTTTAGAATAAAACTTTATTATTAATTGCGATCTATTAAAAATCTCATGATCAATATTATGATAAAATAATTGAATAATAGTTGTTATTTATCTAAAATAACAGGAATGACGGAATATTATTCTCTTGTAATTTTCACAAAATTTTTTTTAATGTGAATGCTAGAATGTGAATACAGAAATCAAACTATGGAAAATTTTCTGCAAAACTTTGCAAATTTCAAAATTATTTCTTATAGATATATATATATAAAGTTTTCATTTTGAAATTTTAATGGAAAATTTTTATATTTTTATAGGAATTCGAAACGTTTAAATTTATTAAAATCTTTATTTTTGCATTATTTTTTATTTTTATAGTAAATGAGCAATATGTTCAGAAATCTTTTCTCCTTTGAATTCTCAATATACCAAAAATAATTATACAGAATGTCATTGATTTGATATAAATCATATGTATATTTAGCGCAAGAAGGTAAATCAACATGAAAAAATAAGTATTCAGATATAAGCATAAGTAAGATCATATGAAAACATGTACACATTTAAACAAAAATATACAAGTCACAGTGATTTATTCAGAAACTAAATCGAGTCAGCCACATGAAAATGAGGATTTTGTTGTACTTTTTCGAATTCAGATATTAAAAAAAGCATCTATTCAATGATTTTTCATTGAAGCTATTTCTTCTATAATCGAAAAGAAATCATCATCGATAATGAGAAATCTATTTTAATATATACCCTAATCTTTTGCGAAGAAGCGTCTCTTCTTGAATAAGAACTTTTTCTGTTCAAAATTCTGTTCTGAATTCAAGTTGTTCCTTTTTTATTTTTGATTTTCATATTTTACTAATCGATTAACGTGAACAATTTTACATCTTGTCGAATGTCAAATGCGATAAATTATATCGTTTATTTTATCTATTATATAAGATCCTCTAATTGTAAATTCGGACATTTTTTTTTCATTCGTAGTTGATGCAGCTATATCTTCTCTTCTGAGCTAAATTTATGGCATAAACATAGCAGTTATATTATATTTTCATTTTTATTAAAATTTTTATATACACACATCATACATATTATATAATCTTTTTCCTTTATAAATTAATGAATCCATTTTTCATTTGCCATTTTTTTCTTATTTCTTCTATATATTATGCCTTTTTTTTTATAAGGAGGAATTCCTTTCCATAAATATATGGACAAACGTAACTCTTGATCAACAAAATTACAATTGGTGATATTTAAGTAGCTTCAAAAGGAATAATAGACCATTTGTCAATCACGTTGACTTTTTTCAACAAAGACATGTTTGAACAAAATCTTGGTTTGTAAATGTTTCTTAATTCATTGGTATAGCTTCAAACCATTTTATAAAATAGTCGATCATAATCAGCGCAAATCGATTTTCGATTCAGGATTTCGAATACTATTTTCCCAAGTATATTCTAACATTGTAAATCTTCAGAATTTTCACTTTTTAAAGATTTTTTTTTTTTTTGCTGGACAAGTATTATAATATCAACATCAATTTTCTACATTTTGTCAACAAGAGATCCAATAAAATTGTTATCGTATCCGCACTAATTTATTTAAAATGTCCAGCTACTAACGAATTATGATATTAAAATTTTTGGGATTTTTTTACGAAGTACCAACAACTAAGTTATTCTAAGACTTTTCCAATTTTCGAAATAACAGTTCGCTTTGTAATTTCATGGAATCCTATATTTTCCAATAATATTTCATAATAAGCGAAAACTATATTACATAATCTTGCCAAATTCTTATTTTGTTCTTTGTTTTGAAAAATGAATTCTATTTCTCTCATTTTTCAATTTCCAATTTTTTAAATTTTGATTTTTAAAAGTCGTCTGAAATACATAAAAAAATTCTTTTCCTCTATGAACCTATCCTTTGTTTCCTAGAACAAACATTTCTCGAGGTTTACTTTGGATCAAAGTTCTTTTGATATCACATCGGCATTATTATGAGCTTTCTTCACTTTCTTCACAATATTGAATTTTGAAATCTTATCCTTATAAATATTTTATTCAACTTGATCCGCAAGATGTTTGAAAGACATTAACCATCATAAAACTGTTAGAGTCTGACTTTAACAAAAACTTTTGTTCGTAAAGATAATGATGAAAATTAATAATTCTTTACAAATTACATAGTAATTGATTTTTATTATTTTTTTTTATAAAAGTTTTTGAAAAATAGACAATAATCATTCCTTGCTTTTGAGATATAACCGCTCCATTACGCAAAACTTGATGCATCTGTTTTCAGAATAAATTTTCTTTCCTCTAAAGGATACGCTAAAAGAGAGATTATGCCAATTTTATCTTCAATTCTTGAAATGCCTTTTGACAATCATTGATCCAATTATATTGAATCTTATTTTCAAC